ACACACACACACACACTAAATAAATAAATAAATGTTTAAAAAAAATTTTTAAAAAAAATAAATAATTGTGTCTTTAGTTCTTCAAACATTATGATAGAAAAAATTAAGTATAACCTTGATGCCACTTAAAATTATGATACATTCCATTCAGTAGAATACTGTGAAAGTCAAGTGAAGCTATACAGACCAAACTAAAGATTATTCATCAAATAAATGGTGATTGTCCTCTGTAGGGCAGATATTCTCCTAGTGTTAAGAACACAGCATCAAGCAAAACAGTTAAAAAAAATCCCGGCCCTGTGGAACTAATGTTCTGCTGGTGGAAGCAGACAGCAGTAAACCACATGGTGCTTTTGTCTTTCAGACTTTCCTCGTTGGACCTAAACTTTATGCCCTCTTTACTGTCACCCATGCTGAGGATTCTGTCTTTGTTATAACGGACAAACAAGAACCAGGTATGGTATATTGCACTTATTTTGTTAAATGACTTTTGTTTTTGTTTTTCACACAGATAACATTGACTTTAATGATTTTCTGTACTTCTGTTTTTCCATTTCACTGATGTCTTCTTTCTGCTGGCTCTGAGTTTAGTTTGTCCTTTTCAGTTCCTTAATATATAAAGTTAAGTTGTTTGAGATCTCTCTTTTACGCATTTATAGCTATATTTTGCCTTCTTAGCACTGCTTTTGCTACATCCTTTCCCATTTTAGTGTGTTTCATTTTCTATTTTTTTGTCCTTTTTTTTTGAGACAGGGTCTTGCTTTGCAGTTCAGGCTAAGCTCACGAGGGTCCTCGTGCCTCAACTTCCTGAGTGCAGGCATTGCAGGTGTGCACCACCACACCTGGCTTCATTTTCATGTTTCAAGATATTTTTAAAATTCTCTTGATTTCTCCTTTGACCCAAGACTTGACACAGTAGTGCATTACTTAGTATTTGTGTATATGTGAATGTTCCACTCTCATTCTGTTTTGATTACAAATGATATTTCATGTAACTTTAATCTGTTATTCTTAACTAAAACTTGTTTTATGGCCTGTCCCACGGTCAGTCCTGGGGTAGGTGAGAAGGTGATGCATTTTCTCCCCCGCCCCATGATCCCTGAAGTGCCTTAGGCGGTTCACCTTTCTCTGTGCTTTTTCCTTCTTGCTGCACAACGGGCATAATTTCAGGTATCACCCGTTCACGTTCACCTAGTGCTTTGCTTCCTCTGCACGTTCAGGTGTCC